CTTTACGTGTAGAAATCAGTTCTTTTTCGACGAAATTCGATTAAAGTTAATTAGACATCCAATCGTTCTAGTTTCTAATAGCAAATTTTTCAAATCCGTGAAATTTTCTGAATATATATAAAAGAAATTTTTGCTACAAATATTTCTATTTAGGTTGCATGTGCAATTGCAGTTGCAGTTGCTGCTTTATTTGTAGTTAAAGTTGAAGTTGCAGCTACATGTGAAGCAGCATTTGAATTTGCAGTTAGCGTTGCAGATAAACCTTAAATTGCATGTTCATTTTAGGTCGCAGTTGCAGCTGCATGTGAAGCAGCCTTTTCATTTGCAGTTAGCGTTGCAGATAAAATTTCAGTTTCTTTTGCAATTTTAGTAGCAGTTTTATTAGCAGTTGCAGTTGAATGTGCAATTATCGTTTCATTTGCAATTGTAGTTATAGGTGAATTTGCAGTTTCATATTAATGTACAGCTGCAGTAGCAGTCGCAGAAGCGTGTGCAGTGGCAGTTTCATTTGCATTTAAAGTTGCAGTACAAGTTTGCAGTAGCATACGCAATAGCAGTTTCATCTGGAGTTCTAGTTGCCTTGTCAGTTACAGTTGTATTTGCCTTTGCAGATTCAGTTACATGTGTAGTTGCTGTTGCAGCTCTAAGTGCAGTTGTAGTGGCATCTGCAGTCACAGTCGTTATTTTACTTGCAGTTGTATTTGCATTTGCAGATTCAGTTGCATGTAAAGTTTCATTTTGATAGCTAATACAGTTAGTAGTGCACATAAAGTTGCATATGCACATGCTAAGATAATTGCAGTTGAATATGCAGTAGCATTTTTCTTTAAAGATGCATTTGTAATTGCATTGGAAGATGCAGTTGCATGTGCAGTTGCAGTGGCATATGCATTTGCAGTTGCGGGTAAATTTGTGGTTGAATATGCAGTTGCAGTAGCATTATCAGTTGCAGTGCAGTTGCAGTTTCAAGTGCAGATGCATTTGCATTTGCAGTTGCAATTGCTAATGTGTTTTTATTTATATATTGTTATAGCAGTTTTATTAAAAGTTACCGTTTTAGTAGCAGTTGCATGTGCATTTGCGGGTGCATGTGTAGTTGCATCTGCAGTTACAGTTGCAATTGCATTAACATATGATGTTGCTGTTGCAGTTTTATTTGCAGTTACATTTGCATTTGCGGTTGCAGGTAAATTGAAGTTTTATATGAATGTGCAGCTGCAGTAGCTGTTGCAGTAGCAGTTTCATCCGCAGTTTTAAGGGACTTTTTAGTTTCAGTTTTATTAGTATTTGCAGATTTAGTTGCATGTGTAATTGCATATGCCGTAGCAGTAGCAGTTGCATGTGCAGTTGCATTTACAGTTGACTTTTTAGTTGCAGTTGCATTTGCTTTTGCAGAAGCAGTTGCATGTGCTGCTGCAGTACTCTCGGCAGAGTCAGTCGCCTTTTAGTTGCAGTAGCATTTGCATTTGCAGATACAGTTGCATTTGCCGTTACAGTTTCAATTGCAATAGCAGTTGGTAGTGCATTTTCAGTAGAATATACATGGGCTGTTGTAGTTGTTGTAGCATGTGCAATAGTAGTTGCAGTTGCAGGTAAATGTGCAGTTGCAGTTGCTTTTTTAGTTGCAATTGTATATGCATTTGCAGATGCAGTTGCATGTACAGTTGCAGTGGCTTAGGCAATTAAAGTTGCGGTTAAATTTGCAGGTAAATATACAGTTGCAGTGGAATTATCCGTTACAGTGCAGTTGCAGTTTTATGTGCAGTTTCAGATATATTTAAAGTTGTTCGTGCAGTTGCAGTTGCAGTTGCAATTGCAATTGCGAATTCGTTTATTTGGCATATGTAGTTGTAGTTTTATTAAAAGTTATTGTTTCAGTAGCAGTTGCATGTGCATCTGCAGGTGCATGTGTATTTGCAGTTACAGTGGTATTTGCAATTTGAGTTGTTTGTGGATTTGCAATTGCATATTTATGTGCAGTTTTAAAGGCCTTTTTAGTTTCAGTTTTATTTGTATTTGCAAATTTAGTTGCATGTGTAGTTGCCTGTGCCATAGCAGTTGCAGTTACATGTACAGTAGCATTTGCAGTTAGTGGTTTATTTTCAGTAGAATATTTATGTGCTGTTGTAGTTGCTGTAGCATGTGCAATAGTAGTTGCAGTTGCAGTTAAATGTGCAGTTGCATGTGCAGTTGCAGTTGCTTTTTTAGTTGCATTTGTATATGCATTTGCAGATGCAGTTTCATGTACAGTTGCAGTTGCAGTTGCTGGTGCATTTTTATTTGCAAATTTAGTTGATGTGGCCTTGAAAGTTACTGTTTTAGTTAAAGTTGCAAGTGCATTAGCAGTAGAGTTAACATGTAAAGTTGTATTTTTAACTGTATGTTCTGTTGCAGTTGCAGTTGCCTGCGCAGTTCTTAGTTTATCTGCAGTGAAATATGCTGTTGCAGTTTCATTTTCTGTTGCAGTGGCAGTTGCAGTTGCATGTGCAGTTGTAAATGCAATTGCATGTGCAGTAGCAATTGCAGTTTTTAATACATTTTTATTTACATATGTAAGTAATGTTGCAATAAAAGTTCTTGGTATTGTAGCAGTTGCATGTGCATTTGCAGTAGCAAAGAAATATCTTGATATATCTGCATTTGCATGTGCAGTTTCTGTCGCAGTTGCACGTTCATTTGCAGTTTCTGTAGCATGTGAGGTGCAGTTGCATGTGCCGTAGTAGTAGAATTTGGGGTTAAATTTGCAGTGAATCTGCATAAAATGTTTTCTTTGCAATTGCTGCTGCATTTGCAGTTGCAGTCGCAGATGTATATCTGATTGCAAGTAAAGTAGCTGTTGCAGTAGCAGCAGCGTTTACAGTTGCAAATGCAGTTGCAGTTGCATTTGCAGTTGAAGTAGCAGTAGAACTTGCATTTGCAGAGTATTTACATATGCATTAGAAATTGCAATTGCATGTGCAGTGCAGTTGCATTTGCATGTTTAGTTACATTTTTTGTTGCAGCAGCTTGTGTAATAGCATTTGCATTTTCTATTGCCGTTGCAGATATAAGTACAGAAACATAGACAGTTTCAGTTGCAGTTGCATGTGCAGATGCAGTAGTAGTTGCATTTGCATAAATAGTTTTAATTTAGGTAGCATTTGCAGTTTAATTTGCAATTGCACTTGCAGTTTACGTTGCAGCTGCATGCTAAGTAACATTTGCATGTAAGTTGCTGATAGAAAATATTTTGCATGTGCAGCTGCTGCTGCTTGTAAAGCAGCATTTGCATTTGCAGTTAGCGTTGCAGATAGACTTTAAGTGGCATTTGCGGTTAAGGTATCAGTTGCATGTGTAATTCATGTGGCAGTTGCATAGGCAGTTGCGGTTGCTGGTGTATTAAAAGTTAAATATGCAGTTGCAGTTGCATTAGGAGTTTTAATGCAGTTTTAGTTGCATGTGCAGTAAAGTGGCATGTACAGATACTGTTTGTAAAGTATTTGTAGGTGAATCTGCAGTTTTAGTGGCATTTTTAGATATAGTGGCAGCTGCAGTTGCATATGCAGTGCAGTTGCAGTGGCATTTGCCGTTGCAGACTTCGTTTAGGCTGCATGTAAAGTTGCATTTTTATTTGCAGTTGCTGTTGCAGACATAAGTCAAGGGGCATATGCATTTTCAGATTCATTTTTTTGTGCAGTTGGATGTGCAGTGGCAGTAGCATTTGCAATTGTATGAGCAATGAGGCTGCATAAGATGTTTTATTTACAATTGCATATCCATTCGCCGTTGCAGTTGCAGGTGTATGTCTAATGGCAAGTGCAGTTGTCGTATCAGTCGCAGCAGCATGTACAGTTGTAAATGCAATTGCAGTTCATTTGCAGTTAAAGTTGCTTGTGTATTTGCAGTGGAATATGCTGCTACAGTTGCCTTTAAAGATGCTATGGCATTTGCAGTTGTATGTTCTGAGAAGCTGCAAATGCGGTTTTTATTGCAATTGCGTGTGCATTTGCAGATGCAGTCGCAGATGTTTGTATAGTGACATATGCAGTGGCAGTTGTGTTAGTAGCTGCATGTACAGTTGCCTTTGCAGATGCAGATTTATGTGCAGTTGCAGTTGCTAGTAAAGTTGCAGTTGTAGTTGCATTTGCTGTTTTATGTGCCATTGCTATAGCACCTGCATCTACATTTGCAGGTGCTAATAAAATTGCAGCTCTATGTGGCGCTAAAGTTTTGGTTGCTTTGCATAGGCAATTGCAGATGCATGTTTAATTGCAATTCCAGTTGCATTTGCAGTTGCATTAGCAGTGTCAGTTTTAGTTGCCTGGACAGGTGCAAGTACAGTTTTATGTGCTGTTGCTAATGCAGTTACAGTTTTATATGCTTTAAATGGTTCACGTGCTGTTTATGCAGCAGTTTCTGGTGCATAGCTAGTTGCTTGTGGATGTAAAGTTTCAACTGCAGTGGAATCGGCAGTTGAATGTGCAGTTACTTTTGCAGTTAACTATTTAGCTGCAAGTACAGGTTTAGTTGCAGGTACATTTTTTGTGGCAGTTGCAGTAGCTTTTGMATTTGCAGGTGTAGAAGCATTTTTATATGCTGTTTCAGTTGCAATTGCAGCTGCAGTTGTAGTTGCAGATTCTTTTGCTGTTGCAATTGCCGCTGCAAAGTCATTTGCTGCTGCAGTTTTAGTCGCATTTGCAGTTGCCATTGCAGTAGCGGATGTATGTAAATGTGTCTGTCTATGTGCAGTGGCAGTTGCATGTTCAGAAGTAGTTGCAATTGCTTTAGCATGTGCAATTGCAGGTGCATTTGCAGTTGCATTTGCCGTTGTTGTTAGATTTTTGTTTGCTGTTGCACGGTCGTTAGCATGTTTATGTGCAGTTTTGTTTCTATTTCAGTTGCAGCAGCAGTTGCAGTTGTAGTCGCCTTGGCATCTGAGGTACAAGTTAGTTTGCAGTTGCAGTTGCAGATGTATTTGCAATTAGAGTATTAGTTTTTGTAAAAATAGCAGTTGCATTTGCTTAAGCAGTAGCTGTTGTAGTCGCAGGGGCTATTTTCGTTGCATTTGCCGTTGCAGCTGCAGTTACTGCTTCATGTACAGTTGCAGGTGATTGTGCAGTAGCAGTTTTAGCTGCCTTTGCAGTAGCATGCGCCGTTAGAGCTGCAGTTGCTATGGCATAGCTAATTGCTGGTGTATGCGCAGTTGCAATTGCTGTTGCATTGTTCATTGTATGTGCATGTGCTGCTGCTGTGGCAGTTGTAGTAGCAATTGCAGTTAAAGTTACAGATGCAGTTATAGTTGCATGTACGGTTTTATGTACAGTAGCAGTAGCAGTTGCATGTGCTAAAGAAGTTGCAGTAACGGATTCTTGTGCAAGTTTAGGTGCAATTGCAATTGCAGATACATTTTTTTTGCTTTTTAAGCTGCCGTAGCATAAGTAGTAGCAGAGACATGTTTAGTTTCAGTAGACGTTGCATTTTTAGTATCAGTAGCAGTTTCATATGCAGTGGCCAAAGCATGTGCAACTGCTGGTGCATTGGCAGTAGCAGTTGCATTTACTGTAGCATTTAAAGTTCCAGGTGCTTGTGTAGTGGCAGTTGTAGTTACATTTACATTAGCATTTGAAGTTTTAATTGCTGTTTCTCATGCATGTAAAATTTTATTTTAAATGTTCAGTTGCATGTGCTTTTGGAGATTCTTTTGCCGTTGTATGGTCAGTTGATTGTGCATGTGCAGTTTCAGTAGCAGTTGTATTTGCATGTGCTGTTCGGGTTTAGGTTTTTTGTAAAAAGTCGTTTGCAAGAGCAGTTACTGTTGCAGTTGCACGTTTAGTTGCAAGTACAGCAGCTGCAGTTGCATGTGCTGTTGCAGTTGCAGTGCTATAGGCATGTGCAGGTGTAAGTTCATGTGCAGTTGCAGTGCTATAGGCATGTGCAGGTGTAAGTTCATGGGCAGTTGCAGAAGCAGTTGACATAGCAGAAACGTGTGCTCTAGCATTTTCAGTAGCGATTGCATGGGCAGTTTTAAGTTTATGTGTTGTTGCAGTAGCAGATTCATTTGCAGTATCAGTAGCTTTTGCATTTGCTGGCGCAGTAGCAGTTGGAGATTTCTTGGCAGCTGCAGGTTCTGGTACATGCTTATTTGCAGTCGCAGAGGCATGTGCAGTTTCAGTTCAGTTGTAGTTACAGTTGCATTAGCATTTGCAGTAGCATGTGAAGTTACGGATGCAGTTTTCGTTGCATTGTGAAATAGCAGGCTGCGTAGCAGTTGCAGTAGCTATTCTATGTTTAGTGGCAGATGCAATTGCTGTTGCAGCTTCATTTGTAGTTGCAGTTGTAGTTGACGTTGCAATTTACAGTGGATGATTAATGAGCAATTGTATTTGCAGTTGCATTTGCTGGAAACTGAGCAGTTGCTGTTGCATGAACCGTTTAAACTGCAGCTTTTGTTGCCCAGTTTGATGTTAGTTCATGTAAAGTTGCAATTAGCAGTAAAATTGCAGTTGACTGTGCAGTTGCTGCTGGAGTTTACAGTGCAAATGCAAATACAAATGCAGTTTATTTTGCATTTGCTGTTGCAATTGCAGCAGCAGTTGCATGTGTCGGTTTAGGTGCATTTGCCATTGCATTTGCCGTTAGAAGGGCATGTGCAGTTGCATTTGCAGTTTTTGTTAAAGTTTTATATGCAGATGCAGTTGCATGTGCTGTTGCAGTTGAATTTGCAAAAGAAGTTGCAGGGAAACTTGCAGTTGCATGTGCATGTGCTGTAGCAGTAGCAGTTGCGTTTGCATGTGCAGTTGCAGTTGCAGATGCAGTAGCATGCGCACTTCCAGTTTCGTCTGCAGTTGCAGTTGCATTTACAATAACAGTTATTATTGCATTTAAAGTTGCTAATGCTTGAGCTGTTGTAATTATAGTAGCATGTGCAATGGCAATTGCAGTTGTAGTTGCCTCTGCAGTTAAAGATGCAGTGAGAGTTGCAGTTGTATGGGCAGTTTAAGTAGACTTTGCCGTTTAATGTGCAGTAGTATTGGCAGTTTAATAAGCTTGTTTAGCTGCAGTTGCATGTACATTTTTAAATGCAAATGCAGATACATGTTTAGTTGCTGTGAGATGTGCAGTATTAGTTGAATATTTAGTGAAATTGGAAGTAGCATTTGCATTTGCAGTTAAAGTAGCAGTTGCAGTTGTAGTTGCATGTTTAGTTGTTTTTGCTTTAGTTGTTCTATGTGCAGACTTTGGTTCAGGTGCCGGGTAAAATGCAGTTTTAATTGCAGTTGCATGTGTTTTGCATTTGAAGTTGCCGATAAAGGATCGGATGCTGGTGCATGTAATGTTGTAGTAGCAGTTTTATGTGCAGTCGTGTTGGCAGTTATTGTGGCATGTGCAAGTGTAAGTGTATGTTTAATTGCAGGTGCAATCGCATTTGCAGTTTTGTTTGCTGTTTCTGTTTTATTTTGCTTAAGATACAGTTGCTGTTGCATGCGCAGTATCAAGTGCAGGTGCAGCTAATGTTCATTGTCAGTAGCAGATAGATTATAGTCGCATATGCTTTTGTTAGTGTAATAGCAGTTGCATGTGCAATCGTAGTTTTTTTTTAAGTTTCTATAGTATTCCCGTTTGCAGATGCAGTTGCATTTGCAGTTGCAGTAGCATTTGCAAATGTAGTTAATAGGGCTTTAAAAGTTGCATATGCTAGAGCTGTTATAGTTGCAGTAGAATTTGCAATGGCAGTGACAGTTGCATTTACATCTGCAGTTAAAGTTGCATCAAAAGTTGCAGTTGCATGTGCAATTCAAGTAGACTTTGCAGTTTCATGTGCAGTAGTTTTTGCATTTTTACGAGCATATTTAGCTGCAATTGCATGTGCAGTTTAGGTTGCAAATACAATTGCATGTGCAGTAGCATTTGATGGAGTATTAGCAGGTATTATGCAGTTGGAGTAGCATTAGCAGTTTTTGTGCATTTGCAGTTGCAATTGCAGTGAAGATGCATGTACAGCTGCAGGTAAATATGCAGCTTCATTGCCTTTTTTAGATGCAGTGGCAGTCGCAGTTGCATGTTTTGTGAAGCTCTGTCTGCAGTTTTTATTGCTATTTTATGTGCATTTGCAGTTGCATTCGGAGATGTTGTCAATTTGCATGTGCAGTTTTAGTTGCATGTGTAGTTGTAAATACAGCAGCATGTACATGGGCAGTTGCAAGAGCATGTGAAGAAAAATTTGCAATTGCAGCTGCATGTGCAGTGGCAATTGTATCTTCAGTTGCAGTTGCCTTTTTAATTGCAGTTTTATTTGCATTTGCAGATGCAGTTGTATTTACATTTAAAGTTAAAGTAGCAGTTAGATTTGCATTGGCAGAGTAGTTACATAGGCATATGTAATTGCAATTGCATGTGCAATCTCAGTTGCAGTTGCATGTGCAGTTAAATTTGCTGTTGCAGCTGCATATGGAGCAGCATTTGCATTTACAATCAGTATTGCAGATAGACATTTGGTGGCATGTGCAGTAAAATTGTTACTTAAATTGGCAGTTGCAGTTGCATGTGAAATTGTCATTTAATTTGCAGTTGCAATTTAGGGTGAATATGCACTTGCATATTATTGTGCAGCTGCAGTAGAAGTTTTAGTAGCATTAGAAGTTTTAGGTGCATCTGCAGTTGTAGTTGCAGTAAGAATTGCAGTTGCATGTGCATTAGCTTTTGCATCTGCAGCTTTATTCGCCTTTTCAGTTACAGTTGAATTGCATTTAAAGATTTAGTTTTATTTGCAGTTTAATGTGCAGTTGCAGTTGCTAGTGTATTTGCGGTAAAATATGCAAGTTGCAGTTGCATTAGCAGTTCTAGTGCAGTTGCAGTGTCATGTGCATTAATGTTGCATGTACAGATGCCGATGCTAGTGTATTTGCATAGTAGGATTTTATGAGTAGAATACTTTTATACAAATAAAAAAAGATTTATTAGTTAAGTACTTTTACTGTATTAGAAAGATATTTTATAGGTTTAGTACATTTATTTACATAGAAAAAGATTTGAATATCTAAGTACTTTTATCAAAATAGAAAGAGATTTTATAAGTTAAGTATTTTTAATTAAATAGAAAGAAATTTGATAAGTTGAGTACTTTTATTAAAAAACAAAGAGATTTAATAAGTTGAGTACTTTTATTCAAATAGAAAGAGATTTAAAAAGTTAAGTACTTTTATTTAAATAGAAACAGATTTTATGAGTAAATTCCTTCTAATCAAATAGAAAGAGATTTGTTAAGTTAAGTAATTTCATTCAAATAGAGAGAGATTCGATATATGAAGTACTTTTATTCAAATAAAAAGAGTTTCCATAAGTTAAGTACTATTAATCAAATAGAAAAAGATTTGATAAATTGTGTAC